TGTCATTATTTCTTCAGCTTCAGCTTCAGCTTCAGCTTCAGCTTCAGCCTTCTTCCCGCTTTGTGTGTCTTGTGGTTTTGCCTACCCTTGAAGAGGGTCCCCACGCATTGCCCAGGAGCTTGCAACGATAAGAAAGAAACTAATCAGCGTATTTTTTCAGGATCGAGCCCCCCAAATGGGTATAAAATAAGTCTAAAAAGGGCATTCAATGCTTCGATCCGTTGTATCTTGTTGCTTCTTTACGTGTTTACCTTTTATTTTATTGTTTTATTGTTGTTAATCTTTCCTGAACCTGAACTTTTGCACATGCCCATGTCTCCCTCTGTGGCTGATGCCCTGATGCGGTTTCAAGGTAAGCAACCCAAGCCCATGCCCAATCCCAAGCCCAATCCCAAGCCCAATCCCAACCCTTTGCCTCTTTTCCTCTCGTGCGTTGAGCGTGTTTTTTTTGTTGTTGTTTTCCCTGCCCGATCACTCTCGATTTGCATAAAACGATATACTACATATGTGATTGAGCTGCTCGCTTGGGGCAAAGGATGCCCCAATTTAAATGGTAATCGCCGCCAAACAAGTCGAAAGTTGCTTGTATAATTCATTCGGATGTTATATCACAAGTGGAGAGTCGGGTCAACACCGGTCGAGGTGATTTATTAACCTTTTCGCAGCGAGTCCAGCTGATCCATTGGATCTAACCAAAACAGCAGACGATCTGTCTTCATGTTCATGATTATTTCGACTATTCTAGAGTCGCCTGCGTCATTGTCAGGGCCATAAAAGCAGCGAAAGTACATAATTAAACGAATATAGAGTGTGTATTTTTACTTTTTATTGTTTATTATGGTTGCCCCCGACAAAGGGGCTAGAATTATCAGACTGATCAGAGCTCGAGTTCCGAATCCATTAGCATGTTCCATGCACAGTGGACCGACCGTTGAATCTGGAATATCTGAAATATCTGGCAAAGAGGTGGAAAAACCCCCTAGTCATGGCTAAGATGTCAAAAACAAAACTGCATGTCCACCCAACAAGGCAGTGGGGTAAATCCCGAAACCATTCGGATTGAATCGCAGCTAAAGCTTTCGCAATGTGTTCGGGTCTAGACTTTGTGCGTGCGATCCATGATCCGAAAGATAATTAAAAGGGAAATGGAAATGCATAAAAGCGATTACAAAACACAGACAAAAAACAGCACCAGAAACAACTAAGTGCGATCGTTAAACCGCGTTGGAGTCAGAGACCAAACTCAGAGCAAGATCTGTGAGTGTCTCCACGCTCAGCTTTTCGCTCTTGGCTCTTGGCTCTTGGCCAACTCCAGCTCGAAACTCGACACGGACTGGCAAAATCAACATTTAAATTTATATTTTCACGTACGTCAATGTTTTTCCTACGAATTTCGTACGTGAGAGCCGCCAAAAAAGAAGAAACAAAGTAACGATCAAATAAACAAACAGCAGTGATATGGGCAGGGGCATGGCTGGGAGTGATACCCAGATGAATCTGTGATAAAACTCCCATTTCCATTCCACCCAATGAGCTGTTGGACTGAACCGACAGACTTTTTGACTGCTTGCCGAAAAATTAAGCTGAAAAAACCTTAAGTCAGTCGTCGAAAATCCGGTTCCCCATGCGAAAGCTCCGAGCGAGCGGGGCAAGCTGCTGGGAATTGCGCTCAGTGTAGTGTTTGCGCCGTTAAAGCTCCTTACTATAAAAGTCAGCCAAACAGGCTAACAGCTCGCAATCAAAGCTGCACCGTTGTACGCACAACAACCCAATACCCAATCTCCGCCCCAAGCCACCGATCAGCCAAATACGAAGTGAGTAAAGCAACCAGTGAAAATGGGTGTTTAGTAGTGCTCTTCCGAGTACGAGTACGAGTACGAGCACTCATACCAGTAGTCAAGTTGTGCACCAAAAAGAGAAGAAAAAGAGAAAAGAGACGAGGAAATCAATTCAAATCTGGCTGAAAGTGGGTCCGACCTGTCGTCCACAATTATTGCGTAAATTTGGACCAAGCACGGGCCGCTCTGCGGCAGTTAAACAAGAGTTTGTGGGGTGACACGGCTGCACTGATTTGCATAGCCAGAAGAGTAGTGTAGAGTAGAGCGGAGCGGAGCGGAGCGGAGAAATAAGTGGTGTATAGAAGGGAAGCGAGCCGGGGAGAGGGGGAAAGGCAGACAAGCAGCGACGTGGTTTTCGGCTATTTGAGAAATTGTGAAATCTTCTGTGTAAAATATCGAAATTAAAATAAACACCAATTAGTATGCGTATGCGATATATATGCCAAGGGCCATTAATAATGCATGACAAAGTGGACTCCGCCTCGAGCCGATCCGTACCGTTCCGCCATCGGGCGACTCATCGCGATCATCTGAGGTGATGATTCTTTCGGAGACTGGACGGCGACGCCTTCTACATATATTAGATTTGCATTCGCATGTTCGAGCCGATTCCAGAAAAGCAGACTCCGCAGCCATTCCAGGAAACCGTTCTGAATTATTTGCACTCTAAACAATTGCCTCCATCAGCATCGGGCAAACAATAGCAGCGGGAGGGACTAGTGTTTACTTTGCCATTACCCGAATTTGGGGACTCACCAAACATTCTCCTCCTCCTCCTCCTCCTGCTTTTACAGCACTCGACAAGATGAAAGCTTCGCTGGCCATCGTGTTGTGCGTGCTCGCCGGTCTTGCGGCCGCCGCTCCGGATCAGTACACCAACAAGTTCGACAATGTCGATGTGGATGAGGTGCTGACCAATAACCGCGTGCTGAACAACTACCTCAAGTGCCTAATGGAGAAGGGCCCATGCACGCCCGATGGACGGGAGCTGAAGCGCCTGCTGCCCGACGCCCTGCAATCCGACTGCTCCAAGTGCACCGCCGCCCAGCGCCGCAACTCCGAGAAGGTGATCAACTTCCTGCGCGTCAACAAGCCCGGCGAGTGGAAGCTGCTCCTCGACAAGTACGACTCGAAGGGCATCTACAGGTCCAAGTACGAGGCGGCGGCGAAGAAGCACCACTAAGCGGAGGTCCGCTCTTCGCGGTCTACAACTCATTTCACACGAACTTAATTTAAAATCAGAAGCTCCACAATTAAAAATGTCATTTTTTTATACCTTAAATGCGGCAAAACAAAACTTTTATTCCAACGTGGTTGCAACGTGGTGGAAGGTGGATGCGGATGAGCTAACAAATATCAACTAGGGCTTAACGAACAAAAGAAGCTGCACTGTGGCTGGGGCTTTTGTTATTTCGTTTCGTTGATCAGATCAATCGCCCTGAAGTGATTCGCCACATTGATCGTCCAGTCCGACTGTTGGCCCGCAGTGAATTCCTTGATGAAGCGATAGTTGCAGATGAACACCTTATCCTGATACTCTGGCAGAGTTCTGTAATGAAATTGGAATGCCATCAGTCGGGGGATCTGTGAGAAGAATGGCCGACATTACGAACCCCATGTTCCAGGGTATCTCCTCGCCGCGCTCTCGCATCTCGGACAGACCTCGCATCACATGAAAGACCATCGTGACCTCTACAAAGCGCTTCTGCAGCTTGTCGTTGGCCTCGTCGAACATGATACCCACCTGGTAGGGAAACGAGAGGTAGATGTCACTCTCCTTGATCTCCAGCTGACGGCGTTGCGACATCGACAGTTTCTGTATCACGGGCTTCAGTTCCGCAATGGCATCGGCCGACACTAAGTTATCCAAGGAGTCCAGTTCGCCGCCCATCAGTTTGGAGGACACCACCTGGCGGAAAATTGAGTTAAGACCGATACCGATACATGGCCCAATGGCAAGCGGTACCTGCAATGCCTGCTTGGCGCCGAAAATGAAATCCTTCAGCTGGAACTCGCTGTCGAAGTAGGGCCGGATGATGAACTGGATGGTGATCCAATTCTTGATAGTGTTCAACGCCGAGGGCCACACAACCTCTGGGAAGTCCATAAGGCGCGGCAAATGATTACGGTTGGACCTAGCCTCTTGTTCCTTTTTGTTTTCCTCTTGCGGCACTGATGCGAATGATCTTCTCGTTGCGACGGCGATGTTACTAGGATACAGACGCAGCAGGGGCGTTTGAGCCATGCCCAGGCAACGTCTTAGTGTGTGTTGCATTGTAAATTTCTTTATAAGTTGGCAATTATTCGGCGTTTTATAAATTAGCCCTGGATTTCTTTGTTGTTGCTGAGATTATGTGCAGTGTTGGGTAGCCGGAGCTGGCCATCAGCTGATGCCAATCGATGTTTCAGAAAATGCATTGACTAAGTTTGTCATCCCTACTCTCCGTATGACACTACTATTAACTAAATAACTTCTCTGAGAGGCAGTGGTAGAAGATATGAGCCGCTAAGAGCTTCCTAATATGACGAAAGTCGGTATTAAGTAGTTAAATTATATATTTTAGATATCGAATTCAAGTAATTCAAATACGAAAAAATGTTAAATCAAAAATTTAAATGCTAATCTTAATCCTAGTCCTTAGGGTGCTAATATCAAATAGGGAGAAATCTTAAATCAAAAACTTAAATTGTAATGCTATTTTATCAAAGCCAGCCATGACGATATTTTAACCACGAAAATTAGTTCAATGCATATTTGGTATATGAATGAATTTCACCCATCGATATGGGTGCATGCTGCGAAAAGTGTGCAGCATTGTTCCCCAACATGGCCCCAACATTATGATTCCCCTGGAAAAATAATATTCTCGAACTGAGGAATGTTTTAGATCTCACCAAATTTCGCAGATTATAGATACCGATATTTATATCGATTGTCAAAAACGTAACATTCCATTCCCACCCACGTTACGTTTAGCGCTCTTTTGTTGTTGTTTGATTCGTTTGATCCTTATTTTGTAAACAATCCAAAAAAGGAAGTCATGAAAGCTAGGCAATCTAGCGGAAAATCGATTAATACATCAAGGAAAATTATTTAAGATCTACGGTATATTTTTAAAATGACAACTTAAATTTTGGTATATTTTTCTAAGGTCGTGCGGTTTATCTTATCGATAGGTCCTCGGTCACAGTATTCGCAGCCCTATTTCCGCCTGTCAAATTTTTCTTTCTTTCCCAGGCCACGACAGCATGAGGTACATTTGAGTGTAAATATGTGTGAAATACCCGAATTTGTGGTGCGAAAAGATGTGAAAAGTGCGGCGGGGCGATGGTGCAGCACGGTTCGTGCCGCACAACATGAGTGCAATTCATTTTTCGGACAAAAATTGTGAAATAACCTGAACTCGTGCCGCACTCGAACGTCGTATGCACACATACACACACAAGCGCAGAACCAAGCACGCTGTTTTCATGAACTAAAATGATTCTCCATTATTTTACAGTTCTCTAAAGCTCCAAAAGAGGCTCGCAGCCTCTGTACTGCGTTGCGGCAAGAAAAAAGTTTGGTTGGATCCCAATGAAATCAACGAGATTGCCAACACAAACTCGCGTAAGTGCTCGCCGGACTGATATAGGCGCATTGAACATATCTAATGACTACCTTTTTTCTTACAGGTCAAAACATACGCAAACTGATCAAGGATGGTCTGATCATCAAGAAGCCCGTCGTGGTCCACTCCCGCTACCGTGTGCGCAAGAACACCGAGGCCCGTCGCAAGGGTCGTCATTGCGGTTTCGGTAAGCGCAAGGGTACGGCGAACGCCCGTATGCCCACCAAATTGGTGTGGATGCAGCGTCAGCGTGTGCTGCGTCGCCTGCTGAAGAAGTACCGCGACAGCAAGAAGATTGATCGCCACCTGTACCACGATCTGTACATGAAGTGCAAGGGTAATGTGTTCAAGAACAAGCGCGTCCTGATGGAGTACATCCACAAGAAGAAGGCCGAGAAGCAGCGCAGCAAGATGCTGTCCGACCAGGCCGAGGCCAGGCGACAGAAGGTGCGTGAGGCCCGCAAACGCCGCGAGGAGCGCATTGCCACCAAGAAGGCAGAGCTCGTTGCCCTGCACGCCAAGGAGGACGAGATCGCTGCCAAGGCTGCCGCTGCGGCTCATTAAGGGAGTCCACGCTTCGCTAGTCGAGGCACATAATATTGATAGGAATTTGTTTATCAACTGAATAAAACAAACTTTAGTTTGGACGAAATGATTTTGTACAAACGCGAAAACACATTTGTCTATGATTTGCCAAAGCAAGCTCTACGACAAGAGGATGTCTGCTTGTCTATGTTTGCAATTGAATTCCCAATCTGACAACAATATGGTGGTGCCACTAACCAAATAGTATAGTCTATATATATATAGTATATACCATTTGGTTAGTGGTGGTGCTGTTCTACTATAACCCACTCACGCCCCCATCCAGCTGATGCATGCAAGCGTTATGTTCCGATAAAAATATCGCTGCTCGGTTGCGTTTGCCCATATTTAGTACATTCGTTCTCGTGAAGCGCAACCAAATAGTAAGGAGCATATTTTCTTAAAATGAGGATGAGGGTAAACAATACTTTGGACAAATGTCTCACTAAGCATGGACGTAAGTACATAGACATTAAGGAGACGGTAAGAGCAGCATATGGTAAGCACTTCGAGACCCTTCACACAACCATATTTCGGATAATAAAGGAAGATCCAACGCTGGCGTATCTTATTGTGGATTTCAATTTGGAAGGTACGACCCATTCTCTTCAACAGCACCAGATATTTTTTTCTCTTCCCATAGCTGCCCCATATGATGACCCCTGGATCTGTCCTCTGGTCCTTGAAGTAATTATAGTGATTATAGTTATCTTTTTTGAAGTGTCACATTTATTTTGAGATGGTTAGTCATAGTAGTTTCGCTTGGTGAGGTATTCGGATTTGTAAGCAACGCCCAATACGGCCATTTAATTCGTGTTCGTGTAAGATTTGTTCCTATTCCGCGTGCGTTTAATAATATTACTCGTCGGTATCCTCGTTCTCGTAAAACTCGTCGTATCCCCATCGTTAGGGGGCCTTGTTTGGATCGCGCGAACCATTAATAATCGAAATATATTATATCCTATACCCGTACTAAAATCGCGTGCGCCGTTACGTCGTTATTATATCGAATAGTGTCTGAATTGTTCTTGCAGGAAGCTCGGGAGATATGTTAAAGATCGCGAAACCTAACGAATTCGATTTGGTATTTAAGCTCGGGATTCCGCACTCCCGGGAAATAATTGTGACGCGAGATTCGGGAATGCCAGGAAACGTTTTACTCAACATGACGCGAGTGTTGCAACTACTGGAAAACGATCGTGGCGTGGATCAACAGAATATTCACCGACTGTTAAAATCACTTGTAAACGCGCAGAACTTCCTCGTCGTGGAAAAGATGCAGAGCTGGCTTCAAAGCCGCTTCCGTCGTGCTCTCAACAGGCTCAAGCATTCAATCGTAGTGGATGGCAAAGCGTCTAGACTTAAATATCGCATTTGTGGGCCGGCCCACACCCTCGAAGTCGAAGGAATGGACTATTCTGTTGATTTTGTTCCTGCCATCCGACTGGATGCCGAGCAGAACGTGTTTCGGTCCGAGCAGCTTAATTTCTTCGCGAACATAGCCTACTGGGAAGCGATACCAAAACCCTTTAAAAACCCTCTCATAACCGAAAGCATTTCGTTTAGATCTTCCCACTACAAGGCCGAGCAGGCCGTCTTGAGGGGTAAACATGAAAATTGCCGGAATGCAATCAAGTACATTAAGAAGTTTCGCGATGTCAAGACAAATTTACACAACTTAAAGAGTTATTTTATTAAGACCCTGTTTTTATGGAAGATTAGGTCCGAACCGGATGCTTACTGGCACAAACCGCTCACAGCAATCTTGATCGATGTATGTATCACACTTCAATCCAAACATCCGGTCGCCTCTTGCTGATCCACGCCATTTTATTCCAGATGTTCGATGAGCTGTCTGAGTGCTTGTGCCAAGGAAGACTAGACTTTTTCTGGGATCCCAAGCTAAACATGCTGGATATCTATACAACGGAGCAAAAACTGGAAATGTATCGATGTGTCGAAGGTATGCCGGGAAAGCTAAGAAGTGCGGCTAGAGATCCCACATACCGCAGATTGTTGACTGTCCTGCAGGCTTTCAGTAAGTGAATCGTTGGTTATTTTCGCTCATTGAATTATATTTTTGATATGTAGGTCACAAGGACGAATCCATTGCCATCCCTAGATGTTACCCGGGAAAGTTATATCCAAAACGTCTAAGCAATGGGTCTTACACTAGCCCCCTTGAGATTAAATTCCACACAATGGATCAAACAATCGAAATTTTTCAACAGGGTACGACGAGAGATACCTCATGTCGTTGTTTGTTGCCTGTTGTTCTGCGGGCTCTCAGTAAGTGAATCCAAAAATATAAACCGGACAGATTCCTTATTCAATTATATTTCCGACAGATCATAAGGTGTGCATTGCTTCTGCAAGTTCTTACCCTCCCAAACGGAATTGCGTCAAGCGCCTAACTAAATCACGCCCGTTGATGTCGTCTGGGCTCATTATATACAAAAATGAAAATTGCGAGCTTGGTGTCGCTGGGTCGCTGGTTAATAAAAACCACTTGCAGTATTGATACTCTTAGAACACCATTTTAATACATGTCCATTCTCGTCAGAGCCATCATTATGTACGCTGCTCAAATATGGGCACCAGCTATGGAGCTCCCAACGTACAGCCGCACCTGCAAAGATGTGCACTGAGAGTCATTAGCGCTTACCACACCGTCTCCGAAGAGACGGTGACTACTTACGGTATATTTTTAAAATGAGAAGGTATATTTCGGTATATCTTTAAGGGCTGATGGTTATATTTTATCGATAATATCACGGTCACACAGGGTTTTCACACCGTTTACGCTATGTTTTATACTGTTCGGTATATTTTAGAAGGTAACACATTTTCGAGAAGGTTTCAAACTGATTTCAGACAAAATTATAGACGGGAATGGGCCTCTACCAGACACACTAACAATTTTTTATGCAGGAGCAAAAATTCGATCGATACTCCTGCTTCAGAGCACTACCTACTATTACGTGAAATGGGCTTATAATGCCCGTTTCAAACGCTTTCGCGTGACCGAATATTCCTGAAGAGACTTGAATAAAAATAACTTTAGAAATAGATTTAAGAGAAATATTTTATCTAATCCATTATATATAATACACAATTTAAGAGAGAGATGGTTGTGAACATTTCGAATAATAAAAAATGTATTTTCTTTAATCCAAAGGAAATTGGAAGTGATGACGATAGTGAATAGGGTGAACATAAAGGAAAATAATGTTTTATCTTTTAAGGTTTACAAAGAAAGGAAAGAAATGATCTCCAATAAAAAAATAATATGGTTTTGATACGGATTTATTTAAATAAATAAATAATTTTTCATAAGTATATTTTACGGTATATACGGTATATTTTGAAAATGAAAAAGAATATTTCGGTATATTTTCGAGGCCCTGACGTTTATTTTATCGATAATTTCTCGCTCACGCTGTTCACACTGCTAAATGTATTAAACATTCAACATTTAAAATTGCTGCGTTGCGGTCGTTGTCAGTGTCAGTCCAACAGTTCAGCAGCCGTGCGCGTGCAAACTGTTTAGAATTCTGATACACAAATTAATTGAATCGGACAAGATCATCAGCCATAGGCCGTCCGCGTGTCCAATCAAACACCGTGCGTGCATGCAAATTTTTTGGCATAAAACAGCCGCGACTTCTTGAAATCCGCGCAATAGCAATCGCGCCGGGGCAACAGCCAGTACAAGCTATCCAGCCACTAACTAAACTAAACTAACTAAAACACGATCTGCAAATCAAACTGAACGAAAACTACCTGTAACTGCAGTTGGACAACGCATTTCGTAATCTAAATCCAAAAGCAAAGCAAGAATACGGGTCCGAGAAACAGCTGAAGGCAACGCAACGCCAAGTGAAAGTGCGCGTGTATTTGTAAAGAGCGGAGGCAACCAAATTTCTTATAACAATTATAACCTGCGTTGTCAGCAGAAGCATCAGAAGCAGCTGAAAAATAGCAGGCCCCAGCACAAAAAAGCAACAGCAATTCACAATGAGCGGATACACAGACCTAACCAAACTGGAGACTAGTCGGTAAGCATCGAATCCAGTTCGCTAGTTAAAGTGCTTAAGTTCAATTTAATCAAAACGATGCTAAGCTAAATTGGTGGAGAGCACAGTGCAGCTGGACAGAGAGCCAGAAATTCCGCTCTCTCTCTCTCTCTCTCTCTGTCTGTCTTTCGGCAGCACCAACCGCACCCCTCCATGTGTGTTTTCTCTTTCGTTTGCACCGAAAACGAGATACAAGAAATTTATCGTACGATTTTGTTGGACTCGCAGACAGACAGACGTATGGACAGGGCAATTCAAACACGAAAGAAAAAACCAAGCCACCGCTCTGCTCTGCCCGCTGTTCACTGTCCACTGTCCGTTGCGTGCTGCTAATATGACACAATCAGCTATATCTATATATCGTACACCGCTCTGCTCTCTGAAATATGTAAACGCTGGCTGCGAGCGTCTGTCTGTGGCTATGTACACACATAAATGTATACATACATATGCATATGCTTATGTGAGCGTGTTGTTTGTTTAAACTTTAAACGTTCCAACTAAACTAATACCAGAGTTAAAGCGGAGATCAGCGATAAGGGTTTATCTTTGCGGCGGCGCTAACTTCCTCCGTCGCTATAATCAACGAACACCTCGCCTGCCATTTGCCGATAATAGTTATTACTCATCCATAAACATACGATGGCTATATTTGCCACATGAGCAGACCAGGCCCGGCCCTCCTCCTTAGTAAATCACAAAAAAGTTCTCTGATTCATGGCTATACAAATGTATTTATGCATGTATTGATAGTTTTGTATGTCACTGCGATTGTATTACTATTACTAACGACGCTTTTGTGGCAAGTGTCGCCTTGAACAGAAACTTACGGCGAAACCCATCTCCGTTACCCCCCTACTCTGCCCTCTGCTGTATTTATGCACATCTATGAGTGTGTGAGTGTATTCGTGTGGCTGTGTGGCCGCTGGCCAGTCCCGATCGAAGCTAGAATATCAAATTTGTAGTGCGCGGGGGCGGCCATATCAAATATCGATTATGTTTAGTAGGCCCGAAACCAAACACCGCTGCAGCGATGGAGGTCAGGCGAGGGGCCAAATCGAAGTCAAGCAAAGGCATAACAAAACCAAATATTAGTCAATTCGGTTTAACAAAAAAAAAAAAAAGAGTGTATTGTAAACTTATGTTTATGCATGTATGTATGTATGTACATATGTATGTATATGACCATTGCCCAACATTGCAAATACGAGAAATACCACAAAAACATACCACTAGCAGCAGCAGCAACAACAATCACAGAGAAGAGCAACGGCATCGCCAAACGATTTCATTCATCACACGCTCAGCTGAGAGGATGATGAGTGTGGTGAGGGGAGGGGAGGGATATATCATCAGTAGAGAGCGTCAGTCGCCCGTACAGTTGCTCAGAAACATCACGCCACATACACGATTCCCAGCAAAGAGAAACCCGCTGTACAGTCAAAGAGAGGACAACAGCCCTCTCTTTTGTGGCAAGAGCCAGCTTGCGAATGCTGCAACCAAACAAGGTGTACACCACCACCCACTGTCTGCTGCCACTGAATGAAAATAATCGCCTGATTTCGGCGTTGTATGCGGTACATGCCATTTCTCTGCCCTCTGCCTTTACTTTTTGCGCATGTCGCGTGACGCCTCGACTCGTCGCCTCCTCCTCAGCTTAGCCCAATTCTCACAGTCAGCCAGGTGTGCGTGAAGGGGGGGGGGGGGGGGGGGGGGGAGGGAGGGGGGTTTTGTTTTTTTTCGACAGACGGGGAGAAGGTGGGGGGGNTCTTTTGTTGTTATATCAGAGACGGAGAAGATGGGGAGCCAAGCCGATTTCTGTTCATGCTGCTCTCCAATTGGCTGGCTCAATGTGGCGTGTTCTTCATGCCGGCATTTCTTCTTCTTGCACGGCCAGAAAGAGGGGATATCAAAAGGGAGCAATAGGGAAGAGCTTTTGTATTTATAACAAAAGGTCAATAGCGTGAACCCTCACTCCCTCCCGCTGACTGGCGAGCGGCCAACATTCGATTGTCGCCTGATTAGACACAGCGGTGTCTAAAATTCCTCGCAAATAATTGAAACTAAATTGAGATGATTAAACAACAATCAAACAAATTATAGGATCGCCACCTCTGGGGGGCTGGTGCTGGGGCCGCGGCTGGGACTGGCACTGAGGCCTTGTCCATTCGAAATTATGTGCCTCACAAGTGTCCGATTCTGGAAATTGTTGATAAGATGATAATTATTTTTGCATTCCTACGCTCTCCTCTCTATGTGTCTGTCTGTGATTGGTTCTGTTCCGCTCAATTACGTTAATTAGTCATTTGTCTGAATACTCGTAGGAAAGTCACTGCCTCTCCTCCTCCCCTTGACAGCGTTTCGAGTTCTCCGGCCCTGGAACTTGCATACCAGACAAACCTTGACACAAGCGGGTCTGTCACTTGTTCTGCTTCTGCTACTGGGACCGATAGCTAGATATTTGTCTACCAGTCGGTCAGGCGTCGGAGCACGCTGTGGTCGCGTGGCCCGCCCCCATCCCTCACTCACTCGCTTGCTCGCTGTTACACCAGAACGAACCATCAATATACAAATACATACATGTGTACATACATACTTACATATGTGTACATACGTATGAATGTGCTTTCCCAAGGCGGGTGACGGTGGTCTTTGAATGGCGCACTCACTGAAAACTAAATTTATATCAGTTGCTCGCTTTTCACGCTTTCAACTACAATAGTTGTGATCACGTGGCTACCCACTGACTGGCCGGTCGGCCGTCGGCTGTCGCTGTCCCAATCTTCACCCAAACAAGAGCCAGATACAGATACGCAGCTACATACTGGCTCCTCCAGCTGCTTTGTCGTCTGGGGTCTGTCTGGCGGCGATAAGCCGGGTCGGGACTTTGGTTTGTACTAGTTTAAGCTCTCGCCCTGGGGGGTTAATGGCTGTCAAGTGCTCGCGAGTTGCGAGTGCTTTTTTTTTATGGAGCTTGACGGGGGGAATGACTGTTACGCGATCCCAACGTGAAATTAGCTCTTAATGAGAGACCCCGCGCTGACCGGCGAGCGTTGCATAAGGTGTCCGTTACCAGCACTCTACTTGGTTCCAAGCTGCGGCTCCAGCTCTGGTCTTGGACTGTGATTGAGCTCTCTTTTCACGCTCGCAGCTAAACACGTGGCTGGGTCAAATTGGCTTTTGCGTCCAGAAATAGAAATCTTTCGGTCCGTCCACCCGTCGTCAATCTGGGCTTTGTTTTAGACCCGCACGAGCACTTTCAGGTACAATGGCAGGCACGACCAACAGGTTTCTCTATTTTATACAAATTCAATTTGCGACAACGATTCGCTTATTTGCATAAAAACCAATTCATATCTGTCATACGCCATGTTGTCCAAGCGATTGGGCGCACCGCACCCATGCCAGAGCACCCCCCATCCGAATGAAAGAAAGAAGATTTCGGCTTTCGAG